CCCACCCTTAAAAATTCTGGTGAGCACAGTGGTCCTTCTTAAGGACTGTGGTCATGAGCCTCCTAGTTTGTTTACAGGTCAGGGGCCCCTCGGTTGTGCAAGGGTGCAACCACCATTTGCTGCACTGACAGCTCCTGTCACTCGCTTTATGGGCTCTGTCCAGTGCAGGCTCCTACAAGCTGGGTAGGGGGTTAGCACTAAACCTGATCCCCCTTCCTCTGCGGCAGCTCCAGCCTAATTCCACAGGTAACTAGCTGGGGCACTCTGGCTTCCTCCCATCTTTCCCAGACATTAGATATGACCTGTGTATTGGCCCATTACTAGCCTAACGTACATCTGTCTATCCATCGGTTAAACTCAAGTACCTAAGAATAGTTCCTGGCCTGTGAATTTGAATGTATTGAATGTCAAAAATACTCTTGATTTCATTCAACCACTTAAAAATGCAGGGACGGGCTTCCGTGATGGCACAGTGGTTGAGAGTCCGCCTGCCGATGCAGGGGACACAGGTTCGTGCCCCAGTCCGGGAAGATCCCACATGCCGCGGAGCAGCTGGGCCCGTGAGCCATGGCCGCTGAGCCTGCGCGTCCGGAGCCTGTGCACCACAACAGGAGAGGCCACAACACTGAGAGGCCCACGTACTGTTAAAAAAAAAAAAAAAATGCAGGGACTTCCCGGGTGGCGCGGTAGTGGTTAAGAAGCGGCCTGCCAATGCAGGCGACACAGGTTCGAGCCCTGGTCCAGGAAGATCCCACATGCCGCGGAGCAGCTGGGCCCGTGAGCCATGGCCGCTGAGCCTGCGCGTCCGGAGCCTGTGCACCACAACAGGAGAGGCCACAACACTGAGAGGCCCACGTACTGTTAAAAAAAAAAAAAAAATGCAGGGACTTCCCGGGTGGCGCGGTAGTGGTTAAGAAGCGGCCTGCCAATGCAGGCGACACAGGTTCGAGCCCTGGTCCAGGAAGATCCCACATGCCGCGGAGCAGCTGGGCCCGTGAGCCATGGCCGCTGAGCCTGCGCGTCCGGAGCCTGTGCACCACAACAGGAGAGGCCACAACACTGAGAGGCCCACGTACTGTTAAAAAAAAAAAAAAAATGCAGGGACTTCCCGGGTGGCGCGGTAGTGGTTAAGAAGCGGCCTGCCAATGCAGGCGACACAGGTTCGAGCCCTGGTCCAGGAAGATCCCACATGCCGCGGAGCAGCTGGGCCCGTGAGCCATGGCCGCTGAGCCTGCGCGTCCGGAGCCTGTGCACCACAACAGGAGAGGCCACAACACTGAGAGGCCCACGTACTGTTAAAAAAAAAAAAAAAATGCAGGGACTTCCCGGGTGGCGCGGTAGTGGTTAAGAAGCGGCCTGCCAATGCAGGCGACACAGGTTCGAGCCCTGGTCCAGGAAGATCCCACATGCCGCGGAGCAGCTGGGCCCGTGAGCCATGGCCGCTGAGCCTGCGCGTCCGGAGCCTGTGCACCACAACAGGAGAGGCCACAACACTGAGAGGCCCACGTACTGTTAAAAAAAAAAAAAAAATGCAGGGACTTCCCGGGTGGCGCGGTAGTGGTTAAGAAGCGGCCTGCCAATGCAGGCGACACAGGTTCGAGCCCTGGTCCAGGAAGATCCCACATGCCGCGGAGCAGCTGGGCCCGTGAGCCATGGCCGCTGAGCCTGCGCGTCCGGAGCCTGTGCACCACAACAGGAGAGGCCACAACACTGAGAGGCCCACGTACTGTTAAAAAAAAAAAAAAAATGCAGGGACTTCCCGGGTGGCGCGGTAGTGGTTAAGAAGCGGCCTGCCAATGCAGGCGACACAGGTTCGAGCCCTGGTCCAGGAAGATCCCACATGCCGCGGAGCAGCTGGGCCCGTGAGCCATGGCCGCTGAGCCTGCGCGTCCGGAGCCTGTGCACCACAACAGGAGAGGCCACAACACTGAGAGGCCCACGTACTGTTAAAAAAAAAAAAAAAATGCAGGGACTTCCCGGGTGGCGCGGTAGTGGTTAAGAAGCGGCCTGCCAATGCAGGCGACACAGGTTCGAGCCCTGGTCCAGGAAGATCCCACATGCCGCGGAGCAGCTGGGCCCGTGAGCCATGGCCGCTGAGCCTGCGCGTCCGGAGCCTGTGCACCACAACAGGAGAGGCCACAACACTGAGAGGCCCACGTACTGTTAAAAAAAAAAAAAAAATGCAGGGACTTCCCGGGTGGCGCGGTAGTGGTTAAGAAGCGGCCTGCCAATGCAGGCGACACAGGTTCGAGCCCTGGTCCAGGAAGATCCCACATGCCGCGGAGCAGCTGGGCCCGTGAGCCATGGCCGCTGAGCCTGCGCGTCCGGAGCCTGTGCACCACAACAGGAGAGGCCACAACACTGAGAGGCCCACGTACTGTTAAAAAAAAAAAAAAAATGCAGGGACTTCCCGGGTGGCGCGGTAGTGGTTAAGAAGCGGCCTGCCAATGCAGGCGACACAGGTTCGAGCCCTGGTCCAGGAAGATCCCACATGCCGCGGAGCAGCTGGGCCCGTGAGCCATGGCCGCTGAGCCTGCGCGTCCGGAGCCTGTGCACCACAACAGGAGAGGCCACAACACTGAGAGGCCCACGTACTGTTAAAAAAAAAAAAAAAATGCAGGGACTTCCCGGGTGGCGCGGTAGTGGTTAAGAAGCGGCCTGCCAATGCAGGCGACACAGGTTCGAGCCCTGGTCCAGGAAGATCCCACATGCCGCGGAGCAGCTGGGCCCGTGAGCCATGGCCGCTGAGCCTGCGCGTCCGGAGCCTGTGCACCACAACAGGAGAGGCCACAACACTGAGAGGCCCACGTACTGTTAAAAAAAAAAAAAAAATGCAGGGACTTCCCGGGTGGCGCGGTAGTGGTTAAGAAGCGGCCTGCCAATGCAGGCGACACAGGTTCGAGCCCTGGTCCAGGAAGATCCCACATGCCGCGGAGCAGCTGGGCCCGTGAGCCATGGCCGCTGAGCCTGCGCGTCCGGAGCCTGTGCACCACAACAGGAGAGGCCACAACACTGAGAGGCCCACGTACTGTTAAAAAAAAAAAAAAAATGCAGGGACTTCCCGGGTGGCGCGGTAGTGGTTAAGAAGCGGCCTGCCAATGCAGGCGACACAGGTTCGAGCCCTGGTCCAGGAAGATCCCACATGCCGCGGAGCAGCTGGGCCCGTGAGCCATGGCCGCTGAGCCTGCGCGTCCGGAGCCTGTGCACCACAACAGGAGAGGCCACAACACTGAGAGGCCCACGTACTGTTAAAAAAAAAAAAAAAATGCAGGGACTTCCCGGGTGGCGCGGTAGTGGTTAAGAAGCGGCCTGCCAATGCAGGCGACACAGGTTCGAGCCCTGGTCCAGGAAGATCCCACATGCCGCGGAGCAGCTGGGCCCGTGAGCCATGGCCGCTGAGCCTGCGCGTCCGGAGCCTGTGCACCACAACAGGAGAGGCCACAACACTGAGAGGCCCACGTACTGTTAAAAAAAAAAAAAAAATGCAGGGACTTCCCGGGTGGCGCGGTAGTGGTTAAGAAGCGGCCTGCCAATGCAGGCGACACAGGTTCGAGCCCTGGTCCAGGAAGATCCCACATGCCGCGGAGCAGCTGGGCCCGTGAGCCATGGCCGCTGAGCCTGCGCGTCCGGAGCCTGTGCACCACAACAGGAGAGGCCACAACACTGAGAGGCCCACGTACTGTTAAAAAAAAAAAAAAAATGCAGGGACTTCCCGGGTGGCGCGGTAGTGGTTAAGAAGCGGCCTGCCAATGCAGGCGACACAGGTTCGAGCCCTGGTCCAGGAAGATCCCACATGCCGCGGAGCAGCTGGGCCCGTGAGCCATGGCCGCTGAGCCTGCGCGTCCGGAGCCTGTGCACCACAACAGGAGAGGCCACAACACTGAGAGGCCCACGTACTGTTAAAAAAAAAAAAAAAATGCAGGGACTTCCCGGGTGGCGCGGTAGTGGTTAAGAAGCGGCCTGCCAATGCAGGCGACACAGGTTCGAGCCCTGGTCCAGGAAGATCCCACATGCCGCGGAGCAGCTGGGCCCGTGAGCCATGGCCGCTGAGCCTGCGCGTCCGGAGCCTGTGCACCACAACAGGAGAGGCCACAACACTGAGAGGCCCACGTACTGTTAAAAAAAAAAAAAAAATGCAGGGACTTCCCTGGTGGCGCGGTAGTGGTTAAGAATCGGCCTGCCAATGCAGGCGACACAGGTTCGAGCCCTGGTCCGGGAGGATCCCACATGCCACGGGGCAACTAAGCCTGTGCGCCACAACTACTGAGCCTGCAAGCCACAACTACTGAGCTCGTGTGCAGCAACAGAGACCCAACGCAGCCAAAAATAAATACATATATTTATTTTAAAATAAATACATTTATTTTAAAATAAATTTTAAAATGCATTAACTTTAGTTCACAGGTCATACGAAAACAGCAGACCAGTTTGCCAATCCCTGGTTCACATGATTCCTACTCTGAGGACTGGCACCACAGAATAGTATATGAAGATGCTTTTTATGGGACTTCCCTGGCAGTCCAGTGGTTAAGACTGCACGAGTTCGATCCTTGGTCAGGGAACTAAGACCCTGCCTGCGTCGTGGCATGCCCCCCACCCACAAAAGCCTTTTATTTTAAGAAGGTGCTACCCTCAGGTATGAGGATGACACATACATGCACTTCCCATAACAGTAGGTATAAGAGCTGCTAGTTACAGGGAGCTATTAAACAACAAAATCTAAAAAACCAGTTCCTTACTTTTACTAGACATACTTCTAAGTACCTGGTAACTAGAGAACATTTCTATCATTGGACAGTCCTGTGTTACATCTGATAGGAGTATTTATTCAGTACATCATCACAAACCAGAATAATACAATAACAGTTCCAACAAAAGGTTCACATGTTTATTACTGAGCTACACAGTGAGCAGCGGTGAGGAAAGCTCAAGAGGAGAGAGCATCAAACACGGGTGGCTGTGTGTGAATTCATAATGTGTGTGAATTCATGTGAGCCTCGTTATAGACCCAGCTTGGTTCTTCTCCAATGTCTTCTCTTAGAGTTGTACCTACACAGAAGGAAATCACAAATTACAAAGGCAGTCTGACCTCAATTTAGCTGCTCTTACTGACCACAAACTTTGCCTTAAAGTACCATAAAAATCTTTGAAAGAAAAAGGGTTCCACTTCCCCTACCGTTAACAAGTTTGGAGCTCTTTTTGGAGAGTAAAAAACGATTTGCTAGATGTGTTAAAGAACTAGTCAAAGCAATTTTTTACCTCTCAAAATGATTCCAGGCTAAGGAAAACACACACTGGTTCCTTATAGGGACTAAGTAGTGGAGAAGCTCTCTCCTCTCCCCAGGTGTACGCTCACTCACTTTTGATTCAACAGACCTGGGGTAGACCCAGAGACATATAACCTCCCCTTCTAAATTATATCAAAACCAGTAATTCTACATAATAGGTCACACATACAAAAAAGCTCTTGCATAATTTTAATACTACATTAACACCCTCAGTCACTTCAATACCACAGCCAAGTTATTTGCAGAGCTAAGGCCATCTCAGAAATGTTCATGTCAATCTGTCATGATTTTACCCCCATAAAAGGCAAAATCAAAAATGATCAACACAGAGTTTCTTTCAGCAGG